CAACCATTAAAATGGGAAAACACGTAATTTGGAAAAATAATAATAAAATGGATTTCATAGGGCTCTAAAAATGTAATTTGTGTTAAACTTTTAATAAATTGATGTTAAATTGAATTGGGAGAAAAACATTTATTTCATAGGGCTCTAACTTTACATTTAAAGTTCTACATCTACAACCAAAATGACGATGTGGCCGATATATAAACCGGTAATTACTGCAGATTGAAGCTGGCACAAGAGTCAGGCTGTTTTTGAGAGGATTATCCTAGAAAGGGCATCGAATCCAGAGATGTGGAGCATGGACAGGGGAAAGACAGGGATGGCAGCAGCAGGTTAGGACAAAGACAAAACCTAAATAAGAGTGACACAAACAAACAGATTTTAGTGAAAATAAATCCCTGTAAATCCCCTAAATGGCAGAAAAACCTCTAACAAATGGGACAAAAAACATCTTAATGCAATCTTAATAACAAACTATTTTTTTAAATGAACTGCATCATATGCAATTCCATAACTAGGTCGAATCCCCTGTATTCCTTAACAGCCAGGAAACTAGGTTACGGGTTCTTGTGGCAATTTGAATGTGTCCAATGGCAGCTCAGATGGGCTTAATTGATGTCACTGAAAACTCTAAAAGTCACAGGTGATCTGGGGATATAGCAAAGACTAGCAGGGTTCATTTAGCATGGAGGAGATGAATGGATTGCATTAGTGAAGAGGAAATTGTCAGAAGGGAAAAATGTGTGAATATTACCAATAGTGGTGCATGATGTCCCTTATGTCTCTCTGGATCTAAGCACATTGCACAGGCAAAGTTCGAAGGAAAGGAATCATTCTTTTTCTATAGTGAAAAAGCTAACCCTCTATGGTCTTATAGACACAAAGTTCTGTGGCTTTTTGGTGACTTTCTGCTCTATGGTGCAGAAAGTTTAAAGATATGTGTCCTGGTTGTGCGTGCTCATGCTGTGCACACTGCTGTGCTTTACTAAGAGATAGCCAGAGCACTGACCATTAGCCGATTGATTTTCAATGATCCTCTGTAATCTCCTGCTTTAATCTCCATCTCTGGGGCTTTAGACACATAAACCAACACTTCACAGCATTGACCCCCATAAAGCCTCATGGAAACCTCAGCTGGTAACTGGTCTCCTTCTTTGTCATACATCGATCTTACTCAGGATTAACATGCAAATCATTAGTGGCTGACAGAGATAAATCTTATAAAATGACTTCTTATATAAAAAAAAGCACCATGATTTCTACAAAGACTGCGATTTAATTAAATAAATATGAGCTGCATGTTTGCGAATTATATGTTTGCGAAAATGGGGGCACCTTGATGTATTTAAAAAAATATAACCCTATGACAACAAACTCACAAAAACCTTACCACTACAGACTTGCTAACAACTATAATGAACAAAGCAAATAGGCCTATGTTTTGATTTAAAAAAAACTCAAATCAGCTTTATATCTTTACAGAGCTATTGGTCGTGATATATGATGTCATGCTCTGCAGCGTCTTTAAATGAATTCAACTAACAAAAAGTAATATACTCAAAATTAAAAAAATATACAATACAATATACTCGACTTTAGTGCAAAAATATCATTCTATTAATTCAGCCAAGAAGTCACGCCGTGACACATCTATCGACCTGTCACACGTCTTCACGTGATGCGAATTCGCAGCTTAGAGTTCACCAAACTTGAACTGGAAAGCAGCAAATTGCAAAACTTTTTGCAGGAGCTTGTGTTTGTGGTCTGACGCATTCGCATGCATATTAATGGAAGTCAATGGAACGAAAAGTGTAGTGTGACTGGCCCTTTAACACATAAAGAATAAAGTCATAGTTACTTTATCCATTACCATTGTCTTCTGTGTATCCGAATAACTCATTGTGTCATTGCGTTCATGATCAGACGTACCGCTGTATCAGTGTCCTTATTTGCACCAACATTGACCGCCAGATTTCAGTGCTTCCCATTCATAGACTGTATATGAATGATATATTTAAACCAAAAAATATATTTAAACTTCTCATAAAAGGTCTTTAATGTCGTATTTTGCGCCATTGCTGTCAAACAAACTAATATCGAAAGCGCGATTAGGCTTTATGTCCTTATCAAAACACTTGCCCTGTCCAAATACCCACACTTGCGGTCTTGGCCACTTGAGAGCGCTTGCACGCGACAGGAAGGAAGTGCGCAAGACTGTCCCATGTCTTAAAAATGCACCCTTAATGCACACTAAACCCACACTATCTTGTAGTTCGGAGCTAATACATTACCCAAATTATCGAAACAAATTAGATAAATTATCTGTATAGCAGTACATATGGCAGTTTCCCCCGTGGTATCAAAAATGGTATATTTTTCAAAGTATCATCGAAGTTGGAAATTCCAGTATCGTAACAACACTAGTGAGAAAATAGAAAAGGGGCTGTAACTTAAGTGGCTCAAAGTAGCCTACACAAACATGGTTTATGCAGTGCAAAACATAATAATACAATTATTCAGGCCAATGATGGCTAGATAATACTTTTTCAGAACTGATTTAATTCATAAAGAGAGCTTATCACACACTGAAATGTTCCAATCTCATTTTTCATGCATTATGCTTGTTCTCCAACCAAAGCTGAATTACAGCAAATCCATTTGGTACTCTGTTCTGTAGCTTTCGGCAGTCTGTAAAAATCTACCTCAGATTTCTTGTCAAATAGTTGTACTGTCAATCTCAAAGCTCTTTCCCATTTTACATGTGTTTTTCGCTACATTTATACTGAAAACCAATGCTGCCGCTCAGTCTTTTTGCCAATTAGTGGGTGTAATCGCAGTCACTCCGGCTGACGGTGACGTCACATGCATAACCTCTATTTTAGCATTTATGCTGTGAGTAAACCAGTTTTGTCAGTGGAAGATTACTAATTCAATTTGTTTTTTTCACAGTTCGGCAGACAGACATGTCTTGTGCAATTTTGTATATTTGACAATGAGAAGACTGACTGACCATCTTTCACAACATTCATGCCTGAGAACCTTTTGTAAAATAAATGATTTTTCAATACTGTTAATACTTGCATCATTTTCTTTCATAATTGCTTTATACCAATCTTTTTCCCTTGTCTTATATAACTTTATTAATTTGAGTTTAATCAACTTAAATCATTTACGGCAATCGGTTTCCTCAAACCATTTGAGTAGGTATATAGTTGTTCAAACTTGATTAGATTAATTAAATTAACTCAAACCAGTTAGTTTCAATTAATGGAATGAACTTGAAATATTCAAGTTACAAATGATTGACTAAACCAACACTATATTATGAGTGAATATGACTCAATATATATAAGTTCACAATACTCATATGCATTTGTTTTTAAACTTAAATGGTTTGAAGCAATCAGTTTCCTCTCAATCAGTTTGAGTTGAGTTAACTTATTGGGTTTTACAGTGAAAGTCGGTCAGATTCTTCATCTAATTGTGTGTCTGCTAGACAAAGGTCATTGGAATAATTGGAAAATGTTTTTTTATTGGATTATTATTGGTGTTGTGACCCATGGAAGCTTATCTGCAACGTGCCCTAGAGCTGTCACAACACAAAGTTGACCATTTCATATTACAGATCCAAAAATAGGTTAACAACAGCAACAACACTCTCTCACTCTCAGGGAGACAAACAGACAAACTCAACAGCACACATTATCAACAGAGTTTAGATATAATAATTAATGGGCTTGACTAAATGAGTTCAATGTCATTGGTGATAAAAAAAAAAAAAAAGAAGAGGAGGAATGAGAAGCAAATGGGTCCCATTTTAAGTGCTGTATATAAAGCAGCTGCAGACATATCGGTACATGCAAATTCTGATACACAGTCCAGGAACATGTAATTATGACACTGCCAAAACAGTAACTTCTAAAATGTTATAAACTCATCTTATGAACTTAACTGGCCAGCACATTTACCAACACAGATATGAGGGTCAGAGAGAGAGAGAGAGAGAGAGAGAGAGAGAGAGACAGAAAGAGAGAAAAAAAATTACCATGGTCAGGATTCCCACACTTTTTGACCAATATATTTACATGATTATTCATGTTGTTAGTGATGCGAACAAGGAAGACTGCAGCAGGGTTATTAGGTAAAACTAAAACCATAAAAATAATTTCCGTTACTTGAAATAAAATATAACTGAAATAAATTATAAACTTGATTTATTCCAAATAGTTGGCAATTAAATATAATATTTCTCATTTTCATTTTTTTTTACTTGATGTTGATGTATTTAAAATAACTAAATTTGAAATAAATATTAATAAAACACTTTTTTAAAACTAATAAAAATGACAATACACAACAAAATTACTAAATTATGCCTACTCAAATAGATGCATCTGTATTTTAACTAAATTAAAATACAAACGGATATACAAATATAAAAATTTAAGTTAGAATCTTAATAAAAACCATACAATGTCTCAATTATACTAAAATAACACTGGATGCACTCCCAGATTAAATAATTTAAAGAAGGAAATACATTGTTTCATGGTTTTTAAAGGCCGGGAGATCACAATTTTAAAATTAATTGATATGATTCAGTGACACTGGAAACCTTGCAAAGTACCACTATATTTTTTGTTTGTTTGTGTTGGGGGTGGAGGGGTGGGGTAATACCACAAGTCTTTGGGCATGTACCTTAGGAATACCATGACATGTGCCATGGTATTCTATGAAGTGCCATTTATACCATGCTTCAGTTGGCCCATCAGATACCATGGGCTGAACTGGTACTCAAAACTTTTTGGGAAGGAGGCGAGATATACATTTCCTTAACTTTCCATTATTAAAATACACTTTTCGAGATGTTATTAAAGTACATTATTTTCAAGGAGATATTTCCAAGTTCCCCATTATCGTAGAAACAAAGTAGAGCAGATAGACAGCAAGTAGGTATGTTTCATCTCATGTCAGTGTGTCAGTTATTGTAATATACTCACAGGCGATGTAAGCAATGAGAGCGAGGGCGATCAGGATCTTCATCATTCTTCTGTTAATGACTGTGATCATCCAGCTCATCCGCATCATCCTCCAGCACACACGGCATTGAGCTCTTCCTCACATCTATCACATACTCATATACTTATGAGATTCAAGCCTGGTGCTTTCAAATAAACACTGGGGACGCGCTTCAGTATTTAGTTCCCAAATACAAACGATAACTGAGTTATAACCTACTTATGTGGTGTTAAAGTTTTTTATATAAACAGCAGCTGCACAAAGCTAAATAGGCTAAGTTAATCTCAAAACAATGTCCGCATCAAAACAAAATATGCAAGTAAGTTACTCCAGCGCGTTTATGTTCAACAGGTGAATCCAGTTTATCGCTTAAAGAAAGTAAAACGGCATCTTGGTTAAGAATTATTCCTCTTAGGTCAGTTAGCAATGTAGCGTCATGACTGTGGACCTGTAGCTAGAGATGCTAACTAACTACTGTAATATCATGCAGTATAACTGGGTTCGGTTTAAATCCTGTCGGTAGTCCAATGTTTACTTTTTATCGATAATTTAAAGTCATTTATCAAGAGTCCATCGGAGTAAGTTATATATTTAGCGATAGAGCGATAAAACGTCTCCACATCAGATGTTCAGAGCAGGATAACATAAGCGATGCTTTCTGCTGTCGATTAACCACCCTGCCGCGATAGCAAGTAATTAAAACTATTTTGTTTTCTGCTCAAATAGATGCATCTGTCTGACGAGCTCGTGTAAACATTTTTATATTTTATTTCTAGTATGCGTAAATATAAAAAGACGTAGGCTTTATCAGTATGCTTTCTTGTGCGTTGTCAGGGGAAAGCAATCGAGCACAAATTTGTTCACCATGAGAACAGTGGCTCATTCATGAATAACATGAGTGGAGCGATGGTAAAAAGTTCAGTGATTTTCCACGTTGACTCATACACCCTTGTGCTTCATTTGACTATTTGTTGGTCTCTGTACTGCCCTAAGAGAAAAACAACACAATGTTTACTTTTCCCCCCCCCAGCACAATTTCCAAAGGCAATTTGCATAAATATTGCATAATAGTTATGTCAGTTTTCAACTGAAAACTTCTGGATCTAGATTTTACATTGGAAATCAAATGTCTTTAAAAAATCAAACACTGACATGTATTGAAATCACCATGAACAACAATATGCAAAATAACTGAATTGAAAAAAAATACAGTTTTGTAAAAGTGTGATTTCAGACACATACAGGGCTAAATTAATTGAAACTGGGAATGTTTGTAACATGGGGAGAGCAGTACACCACAAATTCCACCAATAAGGGAAAATATGATTCCTCTGATCATTTCAGTGTTTACCCACGCCACTTCCCTCACAGATCCTATATGAATTGTTGTCAAGGCTTTAAATAGGTACATGCAGATTTTATAAAGAAAAAAAAAATTTTTAGCCAGGAAATATTTTTTTTTCTTTTTTACTAAAACTATATTTTGTTTAGTACTTAAACACTTTCTCATGCAAAATGTGATGCATTTTTAAACTGCTAATTTCAAACCAGTATGCTAATATGGCTAGCTAAACAATGGATGAATGGGATGGGGTGGGTTGTAACACAACCATCCCGCTACATACAGTTTAATTATAGGAACAATTTGTGTCTAATTGTTACAACTTACCCCATCGTGTGTTACAACGTACGATGGGTACTTTGTATAAAAGTTTGAGTACTTTAGCTAAAAAATTCAGTGAGTTACAGATGCTGAAGCAAAAAGTGTTACAACCCTGTCTGCCCTAATAGCCATGTATTACCAAGTGGCACGTAAAGTGTGCACACCTCCTTTGACTTTAGCACTGTATTTGCATTTGACATTTCTTTTGTTTTTGTGTTTTTCTTGTGATCTTGCTTGGAATCATATATGGAATTTGCCCACAGCACAATCACTAGCATTTTTGAACATGGAGGAACTTCACAACCCTAAATAGCAACATTTGTATTTATACAGTACTTTTAATTCTGTGGAAATGTGTTATATGTAAACTAAAAATTCACAGTTGCTTGTCATGGCAGAGCAATAGGAAGATCTGTAAGAATGAGTGGTGGTGTTAGGGGAAGAAACAATAGAGTGTGTAAAAATGAACAAGCAGTTGTGAATTTTCAGTTTACATGTAACACATTTCTACAAAAATAAATGTATAATTCCAAAGTAGGTTTCGGTGTCGGTGTATTACAGTATTGACTTTTCCTAGTAAATTTGAGCTGTAGTAAGCACAATGCTGAAGATTCGGAGCATAGTTAAAAACACGTCATTTGCTAATGCTAAGGTGTTTTTATGACCTCTGATAGGTTGAGAGTCACTTGTTTATTTATACATTTCACTCCTTTTGGAAGCGTTTAAATGTCTCTGATGGATTTATCATGAATTATTCCTTCTGATTTAATACCAGAATATCTAAACACCCGTGTTGAGTAAAATATAATTTCACTGCTGAGTTGCTGTTTGAGTCATTTTGCGATTTTACATAATTTCTGAGTAAAACGATAAACAAGAAAAAAAAATTAGGAAAGAACTTGAATTTATCTTCCTGGAATTGATTGGATGGTGAAAAGTGAATGTTAGAGGCAGCAACTTTGCTAAAACAATGATTTTAAAGTAATGGCTATTGGTTAACATTATCCAATAAAGCTTGTGCAGGCTAATATTAGAGGAATAACACTGGGAAAAAAAATATTTTCTTACCTGGTATTTTAGTTATTTCCAAATATCTAAAATCAAGATGCATTTACTTTGCGAAGCAAAATTACTATTAAGCTATTAAGTCTTGTTTTCCAAAACAGAAAAATACATTATAATTAAATGAGTTAATGCTTAAAACAAGAAGAAAAAAAGAAAATATATATATATTTTTTTATTATTATATATATTTTTTGCAGCAAGGAAAGTCATTTCAAAGGAAAATAATTGTATGTTTAATGTTATTGTATAGGTTTGTAGCAAACACGAAAATCAAGACGATGATGAAGGATCAAAAGTACTTTAATATAACTCTCAGGTAACAGGAACAAAGATTAAACATCCACAAAGAATTGCAGGATCTCAGAGGCTGTATCCGAAAACTTAGGCAGCTGACTTGTTGCCTCGCTGCCCTACCAGGCAATGACTTTGCAGGCAGCGTTTGCGCACAAAGGTACCTCACAAAACTGATTTCGGACAGACTTCTGAGGCAGTGTTACGGTTTAATGATCTACAGCAAAATAGAGTGAGCTTTGGTGAAAACTAAGTAAATATTTACAATAGTACAATAGTAGAATACTACAATAGTAATTTCTCACTAGAAATGACATCATAAGTGGAAACCATTGATCAAAAATGTACATTTACACACAAACTGACGACCAGTCGCAACTTTCAGACGCCATCTTTATTTTCTAGCTCAACTGTCACAGAATGGAAAGCACAGGATTCTGGGATATCAAAGGCAATGAAGGATACATCTACGCTGCCTTCAAAAATCTATCAGATGAAGGTAGATCATCAGGAGACAGGAAGTGAAACTAACATTGCATTCGGATGTGCCTTGATGCCTTCCGACCTTGGAATGTGTCCTCCGAAGGCAGCATTTATAATTTTTCGGTCGCAGCCAGAGAGAACTTAATTACTGGTGATAACCAAGTGCACACAGCTGAACTAAATGACAAATCAATTAACCACCATGACAACAAACTAAAGGGAATGTTGCAAACTGAAAACAAGGTCCAAAAAGAGTGGGTGTGACAATAATACTTTACAGAATATATGGGCAAAGAGGGAGCACATGCAGTGATTCATTGTTATGCGTACTGTCATTATTATTTCCATTTCCATTTCCATTTAGTCATTTAGCAAACGCTTTTATCCAAAGTGACTTACAAATTAGGACTAAATTAAAGCGAGTCATCGCGAAGAGGCAAAAACAACGCAAGAAGTGCTCAAAATACAAAGTGCAGGCATTTTTCAGAGTAGCATAAACCAGACAAGGGAGGATTAAGGGATTTTTTTTTTTTTTTTTTTACATTTTATGAGGTTAAGTGCTCACGGAAGAGATGAGTTTTCAGTTGTCTTTTGAACGTTGAATTCTGCATTCCGGATGGCGGTGGGGAAATCATTCCACCAGCATGGAACCGTGAATGAGAATGTTCTAGAGAGTGATTTTTTGGCTCTCTGTGATGGTACCACGAGTCGTCGATCATTGACCGATCGTAGGCTTCTGGTAGGGATGTAGACTCGTAGGAGCGAGTGAAAGTAGGAGGGAGCTGAGCCTGTGATAGATCTGTAAGCGTCAATGCCTTGAACTTGATGCGAGAAGCGAGTGGTAGCCAGTGCAGAGAGATGAACATGGGCTCTTTTGGGCTCGTTGAAGACGAGACGAGCTGCAGCGTTCTAAATCATTTGTAGAGGTTTAGTTGCACAGGATGGAAGTCCAGCCAGTAGAGCATTGCAGTAATCCAGCCTAGATATGACCAGGGCCTGGACGAGAAGTTGTGTTGCATGCTCAGTTAGGAAAGGCATGGTCTTCCTGATGTTGTGCAGTGCAAACCGGCATGATTGAGTTGTCTTTGTAATTTGGTCTGTGAAGGTCAACTGGTCATCAAATATTACTCCAAGATTTCTGACCGACCTTGATGGGGTGTGTTATAGATTTGTTTCCCTAAAACTAACTATACTACCATACCTTATACGCTAGTGTGTCTATATATATTGACATTAGCTACGTTAACACTTCAGCGAGTCTCCAGTCGACTACAGAATCCACTCCCTAACTATACTTCAGCGAGTCTCCAGTCGACTACAGCATCCGTCTAAATCCTATACTCCAGCGAGTCTACAGTTGACTACAGCCGAGTCGATAATTCAAACATACTTGTTTTCTTGCTGCGCAGCTTAAATGACAGACAGACTTGAGTAATTGTCCTTTAAATGCTCTTTTTTACGGCCGGGAGTTCTCGAGCAGTTCTAAGAGAATCTCCCAAAAAGAAGCAATAAGCATGGCCGGTGGATCTCAGACAAATCCCATTGAGAATCCCACCGAAAACACAGATACAACAGTTTTTATAGAATAGGGAGGTATGCCAAAATTACATGATACATTACATAATTTCCCTACAATTTGATTGGTTCTTCATTACTTCATAATCACAAGGTTTCAAACCTAGACTGTCTAGTTTCATTTCCCAAACTATGTTACTTATACACACACACACTCAAAGTCACAAGTTTTCCATTGGTTTCGTACATTATTCTGTTAAAATGTTAGATGTTAATACAATATTTAAAAACACAGAACAGAACGTTTTAGTACATGGTGTTTCAAAGTGTTAGCATGTTAAATAAGGTTAGATGTTAGAAACATGGTCAGTTTAATATACAGTCTAAAATTTCCACGACAGGTGATTGATGATGAATCTAGCTGGATGGTGAAGTCGTGTTGTAGAGATGGATTGGCAGGGAGGACGAGAAGCTCAGTCTTTGCCAGGTTGAGCTGTAGGCGATGTTCCTTCATCCATGCCGAGATGTCCGCCAGACAGCTTGAAATCCGTGCAGCTACTGTGGGATCA